TAAGACCAAACAACAAAAGGAATGAGACAATGCCAAGACGCGGCGGACACCCCAGCATGCCCGCTTCGGTCATGACGGAAAGGAAGCAGCTAAGTGGATCTCAAACACTTAGAAAACTTTTGAAGAAATCCCAAGTGTTGCGACAGCGAAGAAACGGCGGACAGGCCGATAAGGCCACCAGACTAAATTGACTACCTTACGGACGTAGCAAACACTCGCGGGTGACCTAAGTTGTTAACTTAACACTTAGACAAATTTCAAAATCGAAAAGGCAAAGGAAACAAGCATAGACATCAACAGCCGAAGAGGTCGGCAGAGCATTCATTCATCAAAATGTTAATTACAAAAGGGGGTGCTACGGCCATTAAATTCAGTTGGGCAAAAATTGGGATGCTACTAATTACAAATAAAAGATAAGGGAATGGCCGATCACGCCTCCTGGGCGCCTTCATCTGCAGCATGCTCAGCATGGGTCTGCTCATCGGCATCCTCGGTTTCCTCCTCGGCCTCAGTGTCTTGACCGACAGCGACTGCAGAGCTCGTAGCGTCGTCCAAGAAATCAAACTCATCGTAGTCCGGCTCGCCGAGGCCGGAACTATCGATCGGGGCCTTCCTTTCCGAAGGGGGGAGCTTGGCCTGCTCCTCGGGATCCTTCATCAGCCTGGGAAGCCTCAGGTTCCGCCTCGCCCACCCAGAGGTGTAGTTCATCGCCTTAAGGGCACGCGCCAGCCGCCGGCATAAGAGCCTCTGCATCCGTTGTTGGCCTCCGGCCGGCGGGGGAGTTCATTCCCCAATCCTCGAGCTTGGCGGCCACAACTTCATAGCACCAGGGGAGCCGCTCGTCGGCCTTCTAGCCCTCGGTCAGGAATTTTGGACGGCCTCATCAGCGGCCTTCACAGCAGCAGCCTCGGCCTCAATCTTAGCCTTCACGGCCTCATCAGTCCTGCGCCGCTCAACCTCAAGTGCCCTCTGGCTCTCCGCAAGCTTGGCCAGGGCATCGTCCTTGGCTGCAGCAGCCTCATCGGCACTCTTCTGCAGAGCTTTGGCATCCTCTCGAAGCCGATCCAAGCAGGTCATCGCCTCATCGGCCGAGGCAGCCTTTTGCTCGAGCTCCTTCAGGCGCGCAATCTCCCGTTGCTGCCTTTTGTTGCTCTCCATGAGCATAAAGGCACCCTGCAAAGCAAAGGCAAACCAAAACTCAGGCAATGACTTCACACAGACGAGAAGGAAAACAACAAATCAAAGGGAAAGGAACTTACTTGGACGATGAGGTCCATCCCGCCTTCATAGATCTTGACATCCCCGAGCTTATCGAGGTAGACCCGATCCTTGGCCGACATGGCCTGGGCAAGCACATCATGGCCGTCAACGCCATCATCGAAGACACCCCCGCCAACGGGGTACTCCACCACTTTCTGGTAAGTGGCAGTGGCAATCTCCTTGCCAGCCCATTTCTTCCGAGTCTCCTGGACGAGAGGGAGCGGTTGAGCAACGGCGCTGGAAGGAGCAACGGTAAGATCCACAATGGCGACAGCAGCGCCAGAACCACCATCGTCCACATTTGGGACGGTCAGAACGCCGACCTCATCGGTGAGGGAAGGAGACGGCGCCTTCTTCGTCTTCTTGGCGGGCTTCAGACCAGCCTCGGTCAGCTTTTTCTGGCCGTCAGTGGGAGGCCGTTTCTTCTTTGGATGGGCAGGCTTCGGGACCACACCAGCAGCAGTCTTGCCTCCCTCGGCCGCGGCACGCCTCGCCGCCTCGGCCGCCTTCGCAGCCAGCTTCTCGGCCGCCTTGGCCTTGGCCTTGGCCATTATCGAACGGCGATCCATCACAAAGTCTACACAAAGGAAAATAAACAGGGTAGCAAGGTAAAGGAACAAAAACAAAGGAAGAAAGCCGGAGGAAGTATTACCATCGGCTTCAGCAGGAATGCCCAAATCCGGGCCGTCGGCCTCCTCAAAGGTAGCGGTCATCCTCGGCCACAGTTGGGCATCGTCCTCCTTGTCACCATACACATAATACCTGAAGAAGCCGAGGGCGGTCATCTTATACTCGGTAATGTAATCTTTCACGCTCCTCGGCCCCCCGTCCAGGAATGCCTCCACCTGAGTGTCCAAGATCGAGCTCTTCGGCGGGTCGTGCAGATTGAACCTCCCAGTATGGCCGAGAGAGGGAAATTCAGTGCCGTTCTCACCAAGGGACACGAAAACAAACTTACTCTTCCAACCATGGATGGAAGAAGGCAAGTGCGTGAAGCTCCTCTTCTTCGGCAATTGTTGGAGGGTAGCGTAGGCCGCACAGTTCTTGTGGCTTCCTCGGCCAATCTGATAGAGGTTCATGAAGAGAGCTGTAATCGGCTTGTAGCCCAACTCTTCACAGCGGAGCAAGAATCCCACCATCAACGAGTAGCTGTTCGGGGTCAGCAAGGCCGGAGGAAGTCCCACCATGTCCAAGTATTCCGTCATGAAGGGATGAAGGGGAAATCTCAGCCCCTTGGCGAAGCTCATCGGGTACACTCCGAAGTATCCCGGCGGCGGATTAAGTACATGGTCTGTCGGCCTGGGTGCCCTAACTCTCCCGAACGGCCCCACATACATCTGCGCGACTAAGTAATCGGCCACGTTGCTCTCCGGCTTGATAAGGTAGATATTCGTGAGATCCAGGTAGGAGTACCCTGGCCCACTCTTCGGCCTCCTTATCCTCTTCGGCCTCTCTGCTCCCTTCACGGCGGACACCGGCTTCGGGCACGGAATAGCAGTGGAAGGGGACGCCCCGTCCACCACTCGGGACGCACTTACGTCCTCGCCTTTCGAAGACGAGGCAGACTCCCCGTCCTTACCCTCGTCGTCCTCCGGCTCTCCGGACTTATAGGGGCTCAGATGCTCTATTTCCTCCTCAAACTCCTCAAGCACCTCGTAGTCAAGGGACCTAGTGGAGGCCTGGTCGTCGTAGGGGTAGTACTCCTCGTCCAAACTCTTCATCTTACAACTATTCACGCCCTAAAGGTCTCTACTTTGGATCTAAGTGCGAATCCCCTATTAACACTAGATCAAAGGTCCAGGAAGCAAAGTATACGAAATATGAAAGGAACAGGTGAAGAACTGACCTTCGAATATTTGAATAAACGGAAGAACACTTGAACAAACACCTCAGAGACTCTCTCTCTAGAAATTTCAGCAGCACTTCGTGGGCACAGATTGCAAATGAGGTTACCGCGTCGGAAGGGGAGGGGTATTTATAGACCTCCTCTCCAACGGTCACTACACGTGGCACCATATCAGTGGCCACCTCAGCGGTCACCTTCCCAGCAGCCAATGAGGTGCCACCCCTTCGGAAATGGGCCGGGCTCGTGAACTAATCTACCGGCGGAGTAAAACCCTACGGATCACACGGACAACGAACGCCCACAACGGCCTATACGCTTGACGGCTTCACAATGCCAGCAAAGCGCCCGCAACGGCCAAGGCACCCAATGCCTCCACAGCGATAAGGAGATGACAACGGCTAGGAACGTCATGAACGCCCGTAACGGCCACAGAACCAAAGGAACAAAGAACCCGCAGACATCGGCCTTCGTAACGACCCCTGATGATAACTCTTTACAAGCGATCGGCGCACAAGGGTTCTCCCACAGGGTTACCTTGGCCAGAAAATCGCCATAAGGGTTGGATTCAGGGGCACTACGGAGAGGCCGCTTCGGCCAGGGACTCAATCAACTCCTTCACCCCTCACACTCTTCGGCCTGAAGCAGTGGGGGACTGGGGGACTACATCGGCCTCAACAATACAGACAAAGGAAAAATGCAAAGAACACAAATGTAACCACAAAGCATGGCCACATCGTCCACGTATCACAACGGCGCCAAGGTTTTCGTGACTCCATCTCCGGCCAGGTACTTTGGACAACACGGCGCCTTGTCGGCCAAAGGCACATAACATCATCAGCAACGGCCAACAGGCCACCTAAGGCAAGGACATTCATCGTCCTCCGCCAACAGTTAATCATAATGGGCTCTTCGGCCAAGAACACGAAAGCCAATCAGCGACGGCCAAAAGGAGTGCGCAAGCACCCTCGTCGGTCGTGCCCTCGTCGGCCGTGCCCTCGTCGGCCGTGCCCTCGTCGGCCACGCCCTTGTCGGCCACGGGAGACCCACAGAACCGGATTTTACACTTACTCATTTGTACAGCCCATTAGTGGCTTTGTATTCGGCCCAGTAGCGGTCCAGTTGTAAATGGGTCTCCCAAGCCTAAGGCTTGGGAGCCCAGCCCGTATTTTCCCTATAAATACTTCCTCTGGAGGTAGTTATCAGGGTTACGAAATCATTCTATTGAAGCATTACTTGCACTTCTCTCTCTAGCTCTCACTTCTCTCTAGATATATACTCTATCAGTTAGGGAAACTAAACCAATGATGATCTACTCAAGTTCGTTGTTGACTCGCATCGACCGATCTGCTCAAATTCTATTCAATTTAATCTTTTCTGTAGACTTGTTCATCACATTTCCAGGTATTCAATTTAATTAAGTACCACAAATATGAGAATGAAGAAAACCATTACATTATCCATTTGGAAAAAAATATTTTGTTTATCTATAGACAATAAATAAAAATAAAGATAGTTTTTTCACACACTGGCATGGTATATGGCATGTAACGTGAGTAATAAAAACTCACTCCATTGAGTTTCAAACTCTTATGTGTCTAACGGGTTTCGAACTCGAGACTTCTCACTAAGCACAGTAACCTCACAGCCAGCTAACCTGGAATGCTTGGTTACTATGTATATACTTCCTTCGTCCCGAAAAGATTGGCTAAATTTCCTTTTTTAGATGTCCCAAAAAAATTTATCATTTCCATTTAAAGTAAAGAATATGTGGCTAAAATTAATTTTCTCTCCTCTTCACAAATTTCAACCACACAGTTTTTACTTTATTAATCCATCAACTTTGGTCAACCTTTTCGGGACAGAGGAAGTATACACATAAGGAGTATACGCTTACCAGATAAGACCGGTTGGATCCCATTAAGAGCAATAGTGAGTGCAAGCAACGGGCAGAGGTCCGAAACGGCGTCGGCCACAACTTCCCCCTCAGTGAACATATAGCTGATATCACGCCGCAATGCAAGAACGGCGGCGGCGGCAATTACCGAGATGATGAAAGATATGACGTTCACAACCACCACTGAAAATGCTGCTGATTTTGGATGCCCCGCTCCCAGTTCATTGCTTACCCTCACACTGCATGTTACATCCAACTTTACATATACACATCATTGCATCATAATTTTTAATTGAATTTCCAGATATTTTTAATATGGAGTAGAATTTTATAATATGAAGTGTCAAGTTTTGATCGAGTTTAATAATACCGAATCTCATGAAGTAGATAAAATTTTGATTCAAGTTGCAAATTAAATTGACTAGTAGAATATATATGTTCAATATAAAAATTATATTTAAGATATATTTTATAATTTATTAATAAAATAAAGAAAAAATCGTATAAAAACATACTCAGTACAAAATAAAGAGCAACTTTGGCTACAACCGTGACCAAGAAAGGCAAACTGCAAACTACTCTGTATAACTTTATTAATTTTAACTATTGAATGATTCCATAATACGCCAAATCAAAAGCAAAGTTATGTGTTTATTAAAAAATCGTTGTTTATAGAATTGCATATTCTTTTTACTGTGGTCAATTATTGAGTTTTCATTTTATACATATGCTAAATCATGATGAAATAAATAATTTTTCCCAAGAGAAAATAACTAATTCTAAAATCTTTCAAAAATCTTATGCGGTAAGAACTTTATTACGTGGCGCAAAAGATAAGGTTTCCCTTATTTGAATTTCAAATCATTTAAAAATTATATATTGGTATGATGCTGTAATAGCTATTAACTCGACTATCATTAACTTATACGAAGTATATATTTTAAAAGGGAGATTTCCCAAATAGGAGTAAATGAAGTTTGAAATTCCAAAATAGGACTACTTTGTTTTTATTCTCGAAATGAGACTAACATGGCAGTATTTACTGTCAACTTGTAACCGTGACTGCCAAATAGTTGCAGTACAGTGCATTTAACATGACAGTATTTATTATAATTAATGACAGTATTTTTCAATCATGACAGTATTTTTCATAAATGACAATAATAACTTCTATTTCGAGAAGAAAAATATATTAGTCTTATTTTTGGAATTCCAAGTGTCATTTGATCATATTTTGGGGTGTAGTTCCTGGTTACAATCAATCCGTCGCTCGGTCGCAAGCCGGCGGTGGGTAATATATTAGACTACAACATAGCATCTCTAAAGCGCCCAAACTTTATTTCGCAACAGGGTATGCTAGGCTGAGCGCAGGCGGGCTTCAACACCAAGGCATTGAAGGAGACTCCGACCAGTGATTAACGCATGAGCGGCGAGTAGTTTGACTTGTTACAAGGAGGCAGTCTTTCCCCTATGTTTTAGGGGTGTAGTTTTTCCGGCGAAGTCATCGCTATGGGCTTCTGGCGCGGCAGTTTCTGTTCTCGATTGAAGTGCGTAGAAGATGAGTTTATTGAGCTGGAATTGCAGGGGATTGAGATATTTGGCGACTACCCAATTATTGGCCGATTTGGTGCGAGAGCAGCGTCCGTCAATGTTGTTCTTGATGGAGATGAAGGTAAAGTTCTCTCGGGCCCAGGAAATGTTGTGTGCGACCTGATTCATGCAGGCAGCTGGAATGGATAGCGAAGGATCGTGAGGCGGTTTGCTTTTTGCCTGGAGCAATGATGTTGAAGTGGAGGTACTGGATGCTCAAGCTGCTTTCGTCGATTGCAGAATCAAATCCTATATGGATAACCGTATATGGCGTATTACGGGCTATTACGGTTATCCTAAAACAATTCGGTGAATGGAGGCGTGGGCTTTGCTACGACAGTTTGCTAACAGATCGGATTTGCCATGGTTGGTGATTGGCGACTTCAAGGATATTTTGTATGCGTCGGAAAAGCGTGGTCGGGTCCCGCACCCGGAATGGAGGATGCGAGGTTTTCGAGAGGCGGTTTATGAAAGTGGTCTTACGAATTTTCCTTTTGATGGCTATCGGTGTACGTGGGACTGGGACGCGATATAGGGCATTGGGTTGAGGAAAAATTTGACCGTATTCTTGTTAATGATGAATGGTAGGTGACCATATGGCTCTTTTTGTTGAGTTTAAATGGAATATTGATGGTCGTAAGGGTAAACCGTTTAAAATTGAAAATAATTGGCTTACCGAGGAGTGTCGAGTTGTGGTTGGGAATAGCTGGCGAGCAGGGATTGGTTTTCCGCTTAGTGAGAGGTTGAATTATTGTGGGAGGGAACTACAGAGTTGGAATCAGAAGAGAAGACAATGTTTCAGGGCACGAATTGATATTTGTAAGAGGAGACTGACCTGGTTACGTGACTAGAGTGATCAGCGCAACTGTATGGAGAGTTCATACATGTGCGAGCAACTTTAGTGGATTTATTGGAGAAAGAGAATATTTTTTGGCACCAACGGGCTAAAGAATTTTGGTTGAAAGAGGGAGATTGTGATTCCAATTTTTTTCACAATGCTATCAAACAAAGAAGGCGTATAAATAAAATGACTGGGTTGAGCGTGAGTTTGGACTAGCGATAGGGAGGAAATGCGGAATATTGTGGATGGTTATTTCAGGGGTTTGTTTGATTCTAGCTCTCTAGTTTCTAGAGAGACATGAGGATCTTGGAGCAGACTAAACCAATCCGAGCGGAGGAGGTTAAGAATGCTACTTTTGATATGCATCCGGATAAGGCGCCAGGGGTTGATGGTATGAACCTTGCACTTTTTCAGGCCTTTTGGGATATTATTGGGGCGGATATTGTATCAATTTGCTCTTCTATTTTTTATTCAAAATGCATGCCTCAGATATTAAATATCACAAATCTTGTTTTAATTCCAAAAAAGAAAAACCAGTAAATATGGAGGATTGGAGTCTGATTGCTTTGTGTAAAGTAGCCTATAAGTTTTTTTGAAGGTACTTGCTAATAGGTTGAAAGGGATGTTGAACTCTTTGATCGGGGAGAATCAAAGTGCATTTATTTCGGGAAGGTCGATTGTAGACAACATTATGGTTGCCTTTGAGAGTCAACATTTGTTAAGAGGGAGTTGCAGCGCTAAAGCTTGACATGAGTAAGGCGTATGATCGTGTGAACTGTTCAATACTACGTCCAGTTTGAGAGGGAATTTACTGGGCCTATTATTCATTTTCATGGTGTTCGACAGGGAGATCCCTTGTCTTCATGCTTATTTTATTGGTAGCAGAGAGTTTGAGTGCTTCTCTTCGACAGGCTGAGAGCATAGAGGAGATTCATGGGGTGGCCATTTGTAGGGGGCTCCTAGAGTGTCTCACTTGTTGTTTGTTGATGATAGCTTTTTGTCTCACTTGTTCTAATATTTCTTTTAGCCCAAATGTGGAGGGGTCCGTAAAGGAGTATTTTGTTCAGAGTATGGGTGTGAGGGGGAGTGTAATCAGTCTCAATATTTGGGCCTACCGGTTTTAGTTGGGAGAAATAAGGATGCTATATTGAGATATTTACGTGATAGGATTGTTTCACGTATTAAAAGTTAGAATAATAGATTTTTTCCTAGGCTGGTAGGCGGTGTTGTTGAAGAATGTGATTCAAGCCATGCCTAGTTATGCTATGAATGTGTTTCTGCTACCTAATCAGTTGTGTGAAGAGAATGAGCGACTTATGAATGGATATTGGTGGAGGGGGCAAAGTTTAATTAGAGAGGGATTAGATGGAGCAGGAGCTGGGAAAGGATGTGTCACCCACGTAGTGAAGGAGGTAAAGAAGCATTTTAATCTAGATATGTTAGCTAAACAGGCATGGAGGCTGGTGGTGGAAGAGCGGAGTCTTGTGGGTAGAATTTTTAAAGCAAAATTTTATCTGAATTCTTCCTCTTGAGTGCTCAAATGGGGATTGATCCTTCTTGTATTTGGCGGCGTGTTATGGAGGCCCAGGCTATTTCGAAAATGCATACTCATAAGAGTGGGAAATGGTGGGGATACTCAGGTATGGGCGGATAGATGGTTACCGGGAGGAGCTTGGAATGTTAGCATAGTGCGGGCTATTTTCTCATCGGAGGAGAGCGGGAGAATTTTGAGTATTCCAATTAGCCGGTATGACAGGGTAGATAGTGTCTTCTGGATGGAGGGAAAATGGCATCTTTTCAGTGAATAATTGTTATAAGTTGATAACATGGACGACTATGGCTGCTAATTGGATGGGGTGGATCGCGATGTGGATGCTAATACCCCCCCCCCCCCCCCCCCATTAATATTATTCTTTTGGCAATTGATGATGGATGGTTCACATCTCAACATAAGGGGGTCAATGTATCTTTGATGTGCATGTCTTGTGACGTGAAGGACGAGTCAGCATTGCACATTTTCAGAGATTGTGTTGCGGCTAGTGATGTGTGGCAAAAGGCGGGTTGGGGGCAGTATAATCTGACGGATAGCTTTGAAGCATGGATCAAGGCAAATCTAGAGGGGAATGATAAAGTGCGGAGTGGTTGATTTATTGCTATTCTGTGGAGCATCTGGAAAAGGGGGAACAATATTGTCTGGAAAGGTGAGAATCAGAGCAGTTTGACGGTAGTGAGAAGTCCAGACATTATGATAAGGGCTTGGGAGGCGGCCCAAGGGCAACAACAGGATGGGGATAAAAGAACTCTGGTGGGGGCAGCAAAGTGGCAAAGACCTAGAGTCTGGGCTGTTAAAGTTAATATTGACGTTGCCGTAAATGAGGCGGGTGTAATTCGAGCTTGGAGTTGGGTGGCCTAAACAGACCACTAGTCTTTCATAAAGGCAGCGAGTAGATCTTGGAGTGGTAGTTGGAATCTAGCTGAGTCGGAGGCACTTGGAGTTAGAGACGCAATAGAAGATGCATTGAAAGAAGGGTGGGAATGTGCGGAGTTCGAGTCAGATGCCCTACTAGTTCTCAATGGAGTGGGAGGATTGCAGGGTGGGTCATATATTGATCTTGTTGGAAAATGTGTTAAAAATTGCATTACATGGTCAATTTTGGGCAATATTTTGAGTGGTGTCCACTTCCGATTTGGGTCGGGTCAAAGTGCTTTCGGATGGTCCTTGTTAAGGGATACAATTCGATATATGGTACACTCAAAACGGATAACGGGTGAATGAGAAATTGATTCTCGAAGTTCACTCATTGAAATGGAAAAACTGGGAAAAAGGATGGGTTTGTAATGTAATATTTCTCACAACAAAAAACCCAAGGGATTTTCAACCCCTTATAAATGGAACCCTCTTTGAAGGAGTTAAGATTCTTATGTGGAAAGGCTCTCTTCGCGCGAGTGGGTGGGGGGGTTCAAATCCCGAAAATGGAGAAGAAAATCTGCGGCTTGCGTGTCGGACGACCTGCAGACACGAATGTTGTCCGAAGATCTATCTTTCAAAGAAACGATTTAATTTTTGTTTCTTCTCGTGACACTTCTTTTTTTCGCATCAGATTGCTCGGACCAGAAGGCTCTGCATAAGAAGTTTTTTCATAAGCACGCTTGTGATCCGAATCGAAAGACTTCGACTAAGACTCTTCTAAAACGTTACGAGCAATAAATGTCCAACGTTATGCAGTGTTAAATGGACAGTTCATGTACTAATCAATGCCCAACGGTCTGGACATTGATGTCAAATGTTCAGGCCTATTCACTCTCCATTAACACACAACAAACCCTAAGTGTTTTAAGCTAAAAATCACCTCCAGTCTTTGAAAAAATTCCTAAGTGTTCTTGCTTGTTTCCGTTCGCCAGAACTGTCGTTTGTGTACTCAAACGATTGTTCGTTAGTCATCGTATCCTGAGAATTGATCGTTGCAACGCTCCTAGCACTGTGGGAGGCAACGAATACGCTTCAAGGACGTTGTGCGTAGCACAAGCTTTGGCTATTTCTGTTCCATCTTATTTCTGTTTTTCCTTTCGTTATTTTAATTAATTATAATTAATTAATTGTCTTTGTTTTTCGAGAACACACCCAACAGATCTGATATATGAAGATATTCGGAGGTTGCTGAAAATTAAGAGTGAGTTTAGTCTCTCTTATTTGTAAGCCAATTGGCAAATGATTTATTGGACTAATGATACGATGTTTTTGCTTCAAAAAATGTTTGGAGATTAATGAATCATATAGATGAGAGTTTCAGAGTCAAATGGTTACGTTGTTCTTGTATTTCGGTGGGTGATCTGGATTAACATGGGTGTTTTTAATTTGATTTTACTCCAAAACCATCCAATTAGACGAGATTTCTGTGGTGATAAAATAGATATAGAATAAACATTTACCAAACAAATTAGATCAGACAGGTTCGATTTATTAGACAGATCAGATGAAATCATATTAGACAAATTAGAATAGAACATTTTCAATTTAATTAAAAATATCTCATGTAATTAATTTTAAAAGTTGTACTACAGTACATTAGTTAACAAAATATATGTTCTGACCTTGCTGCTGCATTGAATCCAATTGATATCGTAAATACCCACCCAGAAATCGTTGTACTGAAAAAAAAAAATAAACCACTCATGAGCACCAAAGAGATAAGCTAGTTAGATTCAACATCATCATTAAAAAATTACACATGTGATACATATTTATATGAGAAAATGTATTAAACCACTCATACGGAGTACGTATTAAAAATGCGCCATATTCTAGACTTTGTTTGCAGTTTAAGGTTGAATGAGAACCAGAACGGTTGGTTTTTTATCCTGAATCGGAAGCGCATAGTGCCTCCGGTTTAATTTGGAATCGAAGGTTAACTAGCCCGGGTCGCTTCTCTGGAAATTTAGATCTGAAAGCAACGGTTCCGGTTTGGAACCGGACGGTTGTGGTTCGGAACTGTTTTTTATTAACAAATAAAATACTCGTACTAATAATAATTATAAAGATAATGATGATATTAGTAGTTTTAGTTGTTGCATAGGGACGGATTCAGGAATCTAGGATGCTCTGGGCTAAAAATGAATTATATTAGGTTTAAATATTAACGGGGTGGACTAAATATGAAAAATTAAAAAAGTTATACTAAAAAAATTGAAAAAAAATTAAGTTACGCTCAGCTATACATAGATCCTCTCGTGGTCACTTGTACTTACACTAAAAATGTCAGATACAGATTACTCCCTCCGTTCCTATTATACTCCTTCTGTCGCTTAAAGTTTGTCCTAGTTTGACTTCACAAGTTTTTAGGGAGATAAATTTGACTTTACATTGTAGCGACACTGTTTCACACTGTAGCGACACTGTTTCGCACTGTTTGACACTGTTTCGCACTATTTGACACTTTTTGATATAAATTTGTTTACCAAATAAGGAAGTTGAAAAAGTAGGACAAACATTTTGGGACATCCGTTTCGGGAAAGTGTGACAAACTTTAGGAACGGAGGGAGTATCTTCCATTTCACTATGCATGACACACAATTTAAGAAAAATGAGTATTGTGTGATGGAGATTTGTGCAGATGAGAGAAAAATGTGTAAGAAATGTTGTGAATCACAAATTCTTTATCAAAAACGAAAGTGAAAGTTTAATTGAAACGGATGAAAAAAGAAAGTCGGAAGATATAATAGAAACTAGGGTATGTGGTCGTGCTCAGTTTGCAATAGTCTAAACCCCGCCCAAATCATTTATGATACTTGTAAAGTTTTCATGATGAGGAGCGTTAATTATTATTTTCTAAACTAGAAACGAGCAGTTAGTTCGGGAGATAGAGAAACCTACCAAATAGAGAGCGCATCCAAAGCGAGCTCTGGGTTTTGAAGCAATCCAGCCAGCAAAACAAGAATCTGAAAGTACCAAGCTTCCAAACAGAGCATCACAGCAGAAGCGGCAGACAGTTTGAAGAATCCCCAGAGGCCGGAGAAGGCTTTGACCGAGAACCCACTCCAAGTCTTCCTGCACCTCTCGCTCTTCACAATATAAACGAACTGTCCCACAGCGACCACCCACCATGAAAAGCTCAGCACCAGGGACGCCCCTAAGAGCCCGAACCCGAGCCTGTACACCACCACCCAGCTCAGTACCAGGTGCAGAGCCAGCGTCGCGCCGGATATGTAAGCGCTCGGCGCTACAATGCTCTGCGCTTGCAGAAACTTCTGGATGGGGAAGTTGACGGCGTATGCGAATATTTGGGGGATCAGTCCGTACACGAACAGCGCGGCTGCCGAGGCTATTTCCGGCGACTGTCCGAGGAATATCAGGACAGGCTCCGAGAATATGTACAGCATAGAAAGAAAGACTCCGGTTATGCTTAGGAGTATTGTTGACCGTTGGAGATATACTCCCAGCATTTCATATCTTCCGCCTCCAAAAGCTTGGCCGCATAATGTCTCAACCGCACTTCCCATGCCCAACTATACATAGGTAATTAAAGAACACTAATTATATTATACACAGTTAATTAATGACCACACTTATTAAATCGCCGCTTCTCAACCTAATTAACGGAAAGAAAAAAAAATAGGGGTGAGAATAACTAATACTCCCTTCGTCTCGGTCGTTTCTTCCAACTTTCCGTTTTGGGTCGTCCCAATTAATTCTTACAACTTTCACTTTTGGAAAAAATATGTGGTTCAGGTTCATTCAACTTTTTCTTACACAACTACAACCATATATTTTCACTTTATTCTCACTAGCTAAATTTGCGATACCAGTCAAAATCGGAAGAAATGACCGGGACGGAGGGAGTAATTAGATACTAGTGATTGGGTTAAACATATCCCAAATGGTATTCCAATTCCGGAACAGCCGTACAAACTCAAAAATGAAAAGCGTCTAGTCAAACTCACATGAACGTAACACTTGAAAAAAAGATTTCATATGTTAATAGTTGGTACTCTATCATTTTAAAAGGCAATCCTAGTTTAGAGGAGTATATAAATAAGACAATAACTGATCCTATATTGACGCGGGTGCATATATAGATAAGGATAAGGAAATTAAGCTCTTACATCATTATTATTTAGTTAACTGATGTAATCACTAGTCACATAAAATTATACTCAAGTCAAGTTAAGTTATCGAAGCAATTATTCAAATCGCATCTCAATCAATTATATATGTTAATATTATCATTGAACATATAGAGCGTATTTAGTAGCATTGAAATGAGTTGAAAAATTATATTTAAAATATAATATTTTCGTTCTTTTTTAATTGCAACATTGGACTTTTTGCATTATTCATATATTCTACTTTGACTATATTTTATTAATTAATACTCCGTATATTATAAATTAAACTTTTAAAAAATATTGCTAAATTCTTCTCATTCAAAATTTTTAAAATGTGAATTTTTTAATTTTTTTACTAATAGGGAATGAAAGATATTAATGGTTAAACTTGTGCGTTGGCAAACGTGAAATGTTGACTGTTGCAATTAAAAAGGAACGGATTAATTATTATATAAATAAAACAAATAAAAATTATATAAAAATGACTAAAATGATTCCGTACAATTACATTTCAGCGAGAAAAGTCATGTGTTTTGGGACAACATCTCAAGCATATTATAGTATCGATCCGTTTTACAATCTCTATTTTCATTTTATCAGCTTTATCGGTCATTCTTTTTATCGAACACGTGACTTTTAATTTCACGCATTGAATTGTGTAATAATTTAAATAAATAAGTCTGAAGTTACTTTTCTGGTTGAAGTTACTGAAGGGGATCATTTTAAGGTCTATTTAATTTTTCGTTTATTTTATTTATAAAATATATTTAAATATAATTTTTCAATAATTCAACGGATTCAACCACTTTAGATAGAGGATCATCCATTTTCGTAGATTTAAAAATTTCAACCAATTTAAATGTTACCTGACATATTATAAGAGTCCGTTTGGAGGATTTTTAATTGGAGTATAAACATGAGACCAAACACCAATTCAATTGGTTGATTTGGCTTATTTTTATTATGAGCTCAAATAGTGAGATCGTTTGGCAAATCTGTTTTTCGGCTTATCAGATTTATCAACCAACTTTTTCACCAAACACGTAAATTTTGCTTTCGCGCGCTGAATTGTGTAATAAGCAGAAAAAGTAAGGTTGCAATTATTTTTCTGGATGTGTTGGCTGAAGTTACTCTAGATGACCATTTTAGCTATTTTACATATAATTTTTTCTTTATTTTATTAATAAAATATATTTTAAAAATATTTTTTTCTTAAATCAGCAGAATCAGCCAATGCAGCCACTTCAACCAAAACTTCATAAATTTCAGCAGATTCAGCCAAATCAGTCGATTTCCGTGCTACCGAACGGGCTGAGTAAGTATTTACTGTACTGTACTCCATGGAACTATTTATGTCCAATACATATCAATGAGAAGCTACTTTTTCAATTATTTGGTTGATTTTAGTCTATTTAATTAGTCTTATACAAGTACATCTTAATAAGTACGGAGTAGTTACTTTTTCAATTGAAATATTGGAAATTACTCCAAATAGGACTAAACTACGACAAAAACTCAAAATATGACTTACTATGTTTTTCTTTTCAAAATAGGACCATATTAGTTTTATTGGAAACATACCTATTTTTGCATTCCATTCTTAACCTTCCTTTAAATATGAGTTAATTAAATACTCCGTATTTAATTCCAAATATATTTTGAAAAAAAAATCATAAAATCGTAGAAAAATAATCAAAAAAATTATAAAATAAAAAATTTAATTTTTTTTGTTTTTAAAATTAATAAAAAATAGTAAATCTCCATAAAAAAATATGGATGCCTTTCTCACCGTCTGTACTACCTCCCTGCACCACCATCTCCGACCGGTGAAAAAAATGTCATTTTTCCAAAAAAAGTGCCTTTTTCTGAAAATGCCAAAAACATGACATATTTCTCTTTGAGAATGCCAACATTTTCATTGTTTTCTTCCATAAATACGACATTCGTAATGAAGTTGGCATTTTTTTGCCTGGTGACTAGAGGTGGTGGTGCAGAGGCGTCAGAGGAGGCGGTGAATTTTATTTTATTTTTTGAGTTTTTTATTTGTTTTATTTTTAAAAAAATATATATATAAATAAATTATTATTATCGAAATATTTTTATTATTTTTTTAGTATTTTTTACGAATTTATATTATTTTTTATTATGTTATTATGAATTAAAACATTTCAATAGCTATAAGGGTATATTTGTCCAAAACACACATAATTAGTCCTATGAAAACATAGTTTATTTTTTGGTCCTATTTGTGCAAAGTGAGTGACTTTTAGTCCTATTTTGATAATTAACCCTTCAAATATATGTAGTATTACTCTACCTATTTTGAAGTATAAGCTATTGAAAGACAATTTTATCCATGCATTTTTAACTCTAAAAGTCACCGCGGCACCACCGGAAACCCATAATTGTGCTATGGAACTCTCCTTTATGCGTATATAAACTTTAAACTTTAAATCACAAAACTAATTGGTCAAATCTCCAATTTTTATCGTCATAAAAAACTTTGTCATTTCAATTTAAATTATCAAATATGTTATTTACACATCAATTGGTCATTTTAGTCAAAACCATATCAAACACTCTCACTTATCAAATATGTTATTTACACATCAATTGGTCATTTTAGTCAAAACCATATCAAACACTCTCACTTAGTAGTTTCAACCATTTCAGCAAAACTATTTCAGCAAGGCTAGTTTAGTAATTTCAAACATGTCCTAAGTTTTGATATTTTTATAAAATATACGGAGTATTGTGGAGTACTATACTGTAAAGAAGTTCATGATCCAAAGAGTGTTTGGCTACTTTTGTATAACGTGTATAATTAAAAATGTGACTAGACTGAAAATTTATGAATGTTATTGTGAATTTCTTCGCCATAATTAATTATTGTCGTTGTTCCTACGATGATGACGCTGGTGTCATTGTCGCGACAAACACGTCAACGAGACCTATGATCTTTTTTTTGACTAAGAATGAATTGTGTTGGTTTAAAGTCAGAAGAGGTTTAAAACATCACAAAATTTCTAATATTTGGGATTAACTTAATACGGAGTCGTTAGGATAAAAATGAAATCAGATCGAATCAGACCAAATCAAATCATAAAAGACTTGGACAATTATAAAATACTCAGAAAACAGACATTTACAAGATCATATCAGATCAAACTAGATCAGATCAAACCAGATTAGGAAACTTCACATAAAGTAAAAAAACCTTAGAAGGAAAAAGTAAAAGTGTTTAAATAAGAGTAGATCACGTTAAAATATTATCTCCCTCCACTCAACTTTGCCAAGTTGATGTTAGGTGGGAAATTAGAATAGTAAAATTCGTGTGGTTGAGATTTGTGCAGAGGAGAGAGAAATGAATAAAGCCACAAAAACATTGCTTTAAAAGGAAAGTGGAAAAGTTTGTTTGGAACAAACAAAAAAGGAAAGTTTACAAAATCTAGTGGGACGGGTATTAAGAAACGGGTTATATATTTTACCAAGAGACCGTAGGCAAAAACTTGAATGCCGGTGTTGCCAAGAGAAGCGGCGGCGAGTTGGAGATTGCCGAGGTGGCCAGAGAAGATTTGGGCGGACATGGACATGACGTTGTTGATCAAGTAGGCGATGACGGCAGGGGCAGCGAGATAGCAGAGGAGCTTCAGCTCGATCCATGTCGCAAGCTTGAGACGATCCCATCGGGGAATATCAGAGTCCAGCAGCATCTTCTCTAGCTCGCCGCTCGTTTCATGCTTTCCGTAGCTATGCGCCGCCGGTGATACTGCGCCGTCTCTGCCGCCGGACGGCATGCGTTCGTATGATGAATCCTCCATGAATGATTTGAAGCTAGATAGATAGCTGCTGTGCTGGACGGACAAAAGCGCGTCACTGCACCGCGCAGCTCCAAGCCTCCAAAAAATAATGCACCGATCATATTTACAAGTTGCATCGGTCGCCTATATATACGATTGGTCATACGGTCATACCTGTTGTCATCCAACTACACAAATAACCGCAATCAAACAATCTAAAAAAATGACACCCGTCCTCAGAGCCCTCAATCCTGATCGGACGATATGTTGGAGAATGTAAATTGGACTATAATCTCAATCTGATAGATAGAGAGTGAGGCTCTGTCCCCGGTACTTGCAAAGACCCTATGCATTTTTACTACCGCCGATTGGGATTAATAAGTAAGAAATGAAAATTCCTAATAGTGCAAACATACAGGGTTATTATTGTGAAATACTTCCTCCGTCTCTTAAAACTTTGTCATCTTTCCTTTTTGGGACGTCCCAAAAAACTTTGTCACTTTCCCTTTTAATCAATTATTTTGTGGTTTCTGTTATTTCTCTCTCCTCTGTATAAACCACAACCACACAATTTTTACTTTATTATTCCCCGTGCCGATCAACTTTGACAAAGTTTTAAGGGACGAAGGTAGTATGTAAGAACCTTGATTATTTTAAATGTATGGTCAAGCTCTCAATACTGGTGAGTAAATTCATATTGTTCATTTATTTTACATGGTATCAACAATCTAGGGTTCTCCCTCCCAATACCTAATCATTTATACTGATAAATAAAGAGTAGGGCTCTGTCCCCGGTAAATTGGTGTTCATTTATACTACAGCAACCCTGACCGGACGATATGTTGAGAGAATGTAAATTGGACTATAATCTCAATCTGATAGATAGAGAGTGAGGCTCTGTCCCCGTTACTTGCAGAGGCCCTGTGCATTTTTAGCATAGTAACCCCTCATCGCAGTTGCCGGGATTCGAACCTGCGACCTAACCTTGTGACACTCCCTTGCTAGCAGTTGAGCTACGCCCACCGGTACAATCAAACAATCTAGATTTGTGAATCAGATAAAAGTGTCTAATTCTTTCTCGTACTTTGTACGGAAAGTTAATTATACTCTCGTACTTTAAGTTTCATCAATGAAGTCTCCCTACTTTGTTATTTTCGTCAAAACCGACTTTTAGGAGGTAACCTGCTCAGTCAGCCTGTTGACATGGCGCCTACGTGGCCTGACACGATGCACACATGGTGGGCCACATTTTTTCTTTTTCTTTTGTTTTTTTCCTTTCGTTTCTTTTCCTTCCCTTTCTTTTCACTCTCCCCGTTTCCCTTTTCCTAGCGACCCGGTCTTCTTCCTCAACCTCCAGCAGGGGCGGCTTTGAGGGCAGTTCGGCCAGGCAACTGCCTTGGGCCTCAACTACCAAGGGGGCCTCCAAAAAATTCTACTCCGGTATTAGTATTAGGTGTTATTCGCAGATCGTCAATACACCAAGCGACAACTACAAGCAGAAATCAGCTTTATAGTTCACTTTTGACTATTCGTCATTCATCAAAGTTGTAGCTAATGAAGTCTTCTATCCAACACAACTTGCAAAACTGGATTTGAATCATCCAATAAAAATATATGAATAAAATGGTGGAATGTCGCATTCTGAAATCTCAACAGAGATTGACTGACTTCATCGTCTGTTTTCACCTTGCTTCTCTCAGATTCTCACAGTGGTGTCTGCATATGATTTGTATCCCATGAAGTTGGCTTTCATATGATACTTGAATCATGTTTTTTTGGATGTTCCTAAGAAAAGATATGCTTGAACGATTGACAAAACGTCATCCTGACTGTTGTTTTCAAGCTCTATTCGTCTTCTTTTGATCCCGTAGCCAATTCTAGAGCTCTTTTGTCTTCAAAACTTTGTCTTTAACACCTCACTGATCTCCAATGCTCCTAATCAACTCTAAAATGCTTCTCAACTCGTCCCTATTGCTTCTCAAACACCGGTGTCAGGCTCAAATTCCCTGATTTTGACTCAAAAAAATACCAAAACTCGAACCAACGGCCGGTAAATATGACTTGAGCTTAAAATTGAGACTTATGACACCTTAACGTTAGGAAAAAACTATCAAAATCCGATCTCAACACCCGTCAACGTCCAACACAGACCACTAATCGGCTACTGTATATATGCCTCACTGCCCGCCGTCGACATGGGTCCTTGGTTAGTGAATCAACTAAGACTCTTCAGCTCTTCTCTCTGAGTCTCGTTCTTGAAGTCTCTTAATACTTTTACAAGTACAAGTTTGCCTTGTGTTTTGAATAAGTTTGCATTTTAAAATTTATCCTTTTGAATATTACAAACATTATATCGTGGACTTTGAATATGCTTTTTTTCATTAGGCGATTTTATTCAATTTATCTGATTTTAAAAGTGATTTGTACATAGTAAATATTTTTCGTCTGGGACCTCCAAAATGCTCAAGCCGCCTCTGACCTCCAGCCCCCTATCTCCCTTCCTCCAAAAAAACCTCAAGCCCCAACTTTCATTATTTCTTTCTCTCCCGTCTTTCTTCGCCGACGACCGGTAAGGACAACACACACTATTCATTCAAAGATCAATTATTGCACGTAACTCAAATGTGGGTGATTTTTATATATAGGGCCGGTCTTGTCGAGTTGAGTGATGCTAGAAGTACAAACATTTTTACAAGAAGTCTTACAAAAGGGATATGTGGCATCATCACATTATTTAACACATCACATCATATTTACAACACTTTTACATCAATGGTAATTAGAATAGCCACATCATTTGTTTGTAAGTTTTTTTGTAAGTGTGTTTGTACTTCTAGCATTTTTCTGTCCAGTTTTAGGTGTATGGGCGATATACTGTTTTGGTCTTATTTCCAAAACAAACAAGAAATTGTACTTACTTAAAGTAAAAAATACAGAGTATAATAAAACTATAAGAAATTATTCTAAATAAGACTAAAAACGTGTCTATATTCCAAACTAAGATTATCATGTTTTCATTATCTAAATAGAAGTAATTACTGTCATATTTTGACAGTATCGTTCATTACACATGGTAGTATTTTCCGAACATGACAGTAATTATTCATATTCAGAAAACAAACACATGACAGTCCTTTTTGGAATTGTCAAAAAAAAATACTCCAATTTCAGAATTCTCCCTACAACTATCTAATAAATGATATAAAGTAAAGATGAAATTCACCTTCATATCATTTGAAATACATATTTGGACAAAAGTAACAACACAAGTATCACAAAAAAACTTTGTGAATGAAAAAATAATAAATAATTGCTTTATAATCAAATTTTTGCAAGATCACATGTGCAATGTTTAAAATTGTTAATCCATTAAGTTTTTCGAAGCATAAGGTTGTTTTTACTTGGACTGTAATTCGTCCGAGACTAGACCAGACCAGACCAGAATAAAACAGATCAGACCAGACCAGACCAGACCATATTTTATTATTATTATTATTATTATTATTATTATTATTATTATTATTATTATTATTAGGGGTGTGCACCGGTTCAAAACTGGACCGGACCATACCGAACCGAACCAGATATCATTCCGGTTCAATCCGGTTCCGGATTTTCCGGTTCGGTCCAGTTTTCCGGTTTAAACCGGATAGTGCACGCCCCTAATTATTATTATTATTACTATTATTATTATTATTATTATTACTATTATTATTATTATTGGTATTATTATTATTGTTGTTATTATTATTATTATCATCATCATCATCATCATCATCATCATCATCATCATCATTATTATTATCCCGGTTCGATATGGTCTGTTCTGTTTTGCTCTGGTCTTATCTGCTTCGGTCTGGGATTGAAATCAGACCAAGTAAAACGATAACCATTTTCGATAATTTGGAAGGAATATTATTATTTTTAATTATAAAGGAATATTATTATTTTTAATTATAAATGAATAAAATATAATTATTTATGAATTATAAAATATATATAAAAATAAAATCTTTATGCAAAAAATATAAAAAAAAATTCAGATCAGACCAGACCAGACCAAACCAAAACAGACCAGACCAGATCAGACCAGCAAATTATAGCCCAAGTAAAATCATCCTAATAGATAATTGGGATGATGTTCGAGAATTGGGAGGCACTCAAAACCCAAAGACAATAATATAATTTGATAAGTTTGTAATAAAAAAATAAAAAGTCTTAAAGTCTAAAAAGATGTGAAGAGACGTGTTTTTATTGATTCAACAACAAATGTGTGACTAAGGATGTTTTTACTTGGACTGTAATTCTTCCCAGAGCAGACCAGACCATACCAGATCAGATCAGACCAGACCAGACCAGACCAGACTTGGATAGTTATAAAAATACAAAGAAACCAGACCAAACCAGACCAGTTCAGACCAGACCAGACCAAACCAGATCAGACCAGATCAGACCAGACCAGACCAGCAAATTACAGTCCAAGTAAAAACATCCTAACAACCAACTCTATTTAAAAATCAAAAATAAATTTACATTCTTTTTTAAAACTTGTCTAGCTTCATTTAAGACTTTTTACTTATGTTTTAAAATTTTCAAATTTTCAACAAATATTACACATTAGGCCTAATTAATTATTTGAAATTATAAATAAAAAAGAAGCCTACTTAGATTTCATATAAAGAAAAAACTTGGATCTAATTTTCTTTCTACTTTTTTTCGGGCCTAGAGCGGTTGCCCCTGCTGCCCTCCCCCTAGGAGCGGCCCTATTTATATATTTTTGAGACTAAATTGGAGTTCGTTGGCTAGGAACAATGCTCCATATCAATTTTGAGCAGCTGGGGACGAGATTTGGTGGCTGGTTTATAGTTGATTGAAATTTCCATATTTTGGACTCCTCCGACATTTTTTCCGGCGACATCGAGGCTCGGCACAAAAAATAAAATATGCAAAGGAGGTCTCCGTGAACAGGCGCACCTCCTCATATTTTTTATTTAATTTTCCGAACACCATCCATTTTTTCGATTATTGTTCATGCCGGTGGGTCTAGATAAGAAGAAGGTTGGAAGGGAAAAGAAAGAAGAAAAGAAAAACAATTTTGATGTAGCCCGCCACGTGT